AAAAAAAAAATAAAAAAAATAAAAATAATAATAATAATAAAAAAAAAAAAAAAAAAAACCAAGGAAGAAAGGGAGAGAACAACGTTTGATTGCATAGTAAAGCTCGTCGGTCCTATGGCTCCCGCGACATGGAGAATGAACCAAAACCTCAAACCAGGAACAAAACCAGAAAAAACCAGCAAAAACCTTTCGATTGCACAGCCTAGCTCGTCCGTCCTATAGCTGTCTAAAAAGTTCAGGAAAAACAGGAATTGTTTTAGCTCGTCAGTCCTATAGCTTTCTAAACTGAAGAAAAACAGACAGGAAACCAACCGTTTACATAGATTGCCCGATACCCTTAATATTCCAAAAACATTACATCCAAAAAGGTTGTAATAGGGTCCATACACACTGAGCCTGTTTGCAAACAGACCCTCCTGATCAGATATGCAAATATTTTACAACTCTGGGGTACGTCCTGGAGAGGAGGCCTCCCCAGGGACCACCAGAGACCTTGGCGAACCTTGCCAAGGATGTGAGAGAGACCTCCGGCGGGTAGCACCGGAGGCGTGCCTCCATCATGATGGCAGAGATTGTGGCCAGCGTGGCTTCAAGGGAAGTGGATGATCGCTGGGGTCTCATCATACTGGAGAATAATGATGCTCTTTTCCCTGCTTTCTTGGAAAACGACTCGAAATCCTGCATCGAGTGGATCTTGATTGATCCATCCTCCCTTAAGAACCTTTGATTCCTTGTTCTTGGAAATATGTGAATACTGACTCCTGGGCCACTTTCAACCATCATCTGGGTCCCCAGACACTCAATCGAATTTGTCCCGGAATCTTTCCTTACCAACGTCAGACTTGAATCATAGCATCCTTCGAACTCTTCAAAGATCTGCAATGCTCGATGCTCGACTCCATCATCCCCCCTCGTGAGCCCAATGATAACTGCAACGTCATCAATCATTCGCATTCCCTTTACTAACCGTATTTCTCTCCCTAATGTACTCAAAAATTGCGTCTCAGCTCGCACACACACTAAGCACGCCAGCGCTGGGCTGGAATTCCTCCCCATAGGAATTCCAAACACTTGTTTCAAAATCTGTCCAGCACACCAGATATAAGTATGTTCAAGTTCGAATCGTACTGCTCTCGTTATCAACTGGAAAGTCAGCAGAATAAAACCTTCGCTCTTCCGATGATTTCGCGCCATCATACAACTCTTTCCCCTCTGGCTGACCCTTACCCCCACCAGACCCCTCCGTTGGTGGAGCTCGTTGATCCACGAGATTGCCTCGATTACACTGCAATGAGTGAGTCTTGCGAACATATCCTTCACGTCATAACTCCTAACCAGCGCGCCGTCACACTCTCTCGCCAGCTCTGCTTGGATACCTACACGCCTCTCCTTGAGCCCATCCGTAGCGCGCAGATCAAACTGCTTGGAATCTTTCATACTAAACAGCATAAATCTAATCGCCCGGCCCACCCTTGATCCGGCCAGTCTGGCTGGATCATTGGTGGCTGGAGAGATCGGTCGCCATCTCTCAACATCCTTTTCTTTAGGAAGTACGTACGCACGGCCGATTCTCCCTCCTTTGCCCCACATAGCGACAGATTTGAGCCCCGCTCTTATATAACTGTCCTTCATTCTCCTCATCAACTCATCTTCCTTCTCTTCCATGATTAAAAAACTTGGATTCCAATTGAACGTAATTTGGCATGCGTGCAAATACAAAATTGGACAGATGATCAACGTCCCGCCAGGGTTCCTATCAATCGGCACTGCTATCAGGTTCTGAATAATTTGCGACCACCTCTGCACTTCGTTACCCGTCATTCCTCGCACCTCCTTCCGTCCTTTCTTCTTCAAGCATGTCTCAACCATTCTTTTATCAATCTCCACTCGCTTCTTCCCACTCCATGGTTTCATCGCTTCCTTGATACAACTTTGGAGCTTCTCCATGGACATACTGTCACTCCAGGTAGCGTTCCTTGAATTTTTCACAAAGGTCGGGACTTCCTGAAGATCGTCTAATCTCACCTTAACATGCCCACGTGACCTGGGCCACCGGTAACCTGCGCAGGTACATTGCACCTCCTTGGCATTGGAGCACGTTCGCTGGCTGTGGATAATCTGTCCAACCGTTGGATTCCTTGTGTATAGTAGACGCATTCTTTGGACCAGGTACGCTCGTAAGTGCGGTTCACACACTACATCCCCAATTACCTTTGCGGTCGTGCTTCTCAGTTTCGCTGTACCTACGACTGTGGTGAAAGGAATCTTCAGCAGTGGCCTCTTCCTGATGTCGGTGCCATGAACTGTTCTCACAGCCTTCGCGATCTTCATCTTCAACTGCAGTCTCGTAATCTTCTTTCCAAATAGTGACGCCGTCATGTATAGGGCCAACATCTCCCTAGCATTCTTCCTATACAACAACTTAATCCTCCACGGCTGCCTCAAGAGATCTCTCAGGATATACTTTCGATGTTCAATACTAGACGGCATAATCTCGATTCGTAAGATGCGAAAAATTCCACCTGCTTCAAACTCCTTCTTGCATTCCTTAATCTGATTGTCTCGTCCCTGAATGGTCACGACACTCTCACCTACTTTAGATCTCACCACCTTCCATCTATCAATCCATATTTCCCCTCCGGTCGAGATCAGTGTTTGAGGTAACGGCTGGTTTCTGCATTCCTTTAGTACATCAATGATTGACGCTCTATCATTGAAACTAATGATCCTCCCACTCCCCCTGTTCGACTTCCTCTTCCCTCTCTCTCTTTTCCCTTTTCTCTTTCTTCTCTTCCCGTGATCTGCGCGGCCCTGGGTATTCAATGCCGGGGAGAATCGCTTGATCAGTGCACTTTCTACCATCAATGGATCAGAGATATCGGTGCCAATCGGTAGAATGAGGTACTTATCCCACCCACGGATTCTAAGCCACGCATGCAACTTTGCTGCGTTTCTAACCTTCCCGGATAAAGCGAAGTTGACATGCTCATTCCACCTCAAAATAAAGCTCCTACTGGTGCACCCAATATAAAAGTGTCTGCACCAAGGACTAACTAAAACATAAACTCCTTTCCCTTTGGTGGATAATACTCCCTCTTCATTTATCAGTGCTACCCATTTTTTCGCCCACGGGCAGCCTCCTTCAATTACGACCAACAGAAAAAGTCTCAAGATAGCATCTTCCATTTCAACCCTCAGGCTAAAATTCCCACCGTTTCTCCATCTTTCCCTAGCTAACATCAAACCCCTCAGTCTGCCCAGATAATCCATCATTCCTTACCTTCTCGAAATGGATTCTGTCGGTTCTCCGTATGCAAGCCTTGTCCGACATCTTACTCGCTCAGTGACAGCTTCATATTTTTTCGTCCATTCAACCCCTTCTTCATTGCAGATCCTCCGGAGTTCGGGCGCGCGCTTGGCAGACAACTGCTGGTGCATCTCGAGTGCAAAGTTGAGAATCTCTCCGTTACTTGCCCCGAAGTCTTCATTCCTCCGTGCTGGAGGAGTCCTCATTTCATCCATGGAACCGTCATCTTGGACTAATATCGGTGCTGCTCTGTTCGTCTTCATCCGCAAAGATGCTGGGCGCTTCTCTTCAATACTCTTCCTCTTCCCCTTCCTCCTTTCTATGGCGTCAATCAAACGTCCAGCTTCTTCCCTAACCTCATCACTCTCATCTTCCGATTCATCCAAATAACTCCGTATTTCTCTGAGAACTCTCACCTTCGTATTTGGCGACTTCTTTTTCTCCGGCATAGGTACCACTTTAGAGGCGGCTTTTGTTTGCTGAGTCATCAGTCTGAGCAACCTTGCTTCGAGTCTTGCTTCCCGCGCTTCGGCTTCTCGTAGCCTGTCCGCTTTTTTCCTATCGTCTTCCTCTCTACGCCTTCTCTCCTCTTCTTCTCGGATTCCTCTTTCTTCCGCAGCTTTCTGTTTTTGAATTTTCTTTCGAAAATATGCCCGCATCTCATTGGCTTCCTCATCCAAACCGCCCATCGGTACTTGCTGCTGGAACTGTTGAGGGGGGCGCCCATTCCCCCCAGCCCAGCAATTCCTGGCATAGTGGTCACTCTTCCCACATATATAGCATGTCACAATCCCTGGCTGACTTATGCTTGGTCCAGGTGGCACGTGCGCAGCTGCTCCGTACCCCACCGCCGGATTCTGATTCACCATTTTCTACCTGCCTCTCCTGTCTTGCCTTCTTCTCCTTAACCTCTGATTCCTAATCAGACAACCTATACTATGTACTCACCCTAGTACTGACTCCAATTCGCGGATCAGCTCTTCCTTGGTATCTTCGTCTTGAAAATGCAGAGCTATAAATATTACAGGTGTAAGATTAAATTCAATAATCTTTTGAAGTTCTACCCACTGACATTCTAGTTCCAGGTCTCGAAAGTTCCTACTCGACATCCCTTTCTAAAATTCTCCAGTTCGTCTCCAGGAAACAAAAATGTGCACTTCAAAACTCCACGCAGCTTTCCTCACACTCTCCTCGGCCGTTCGGAATAGGATAAGGCTACTCCACACGCAGGCTGCTATCCAACCTATACGGATCAACCTTTTCCCCAGGACTTTGTTCATAACCTTCTTGGCATCATCCTCGGAAACGATCACACTCCAAGCGACTGCCACGTCAGCACCAATAAGGTCTACGCGGACAGGTCCCGCGCAGATCCAGCACTAGAAAACCCCGTCCTTCTCTTGCCTCCACGATCCTATTAGATCACGCGGTGGTCATCCTCCATTCAGCGCGCAGTCCTTCGTAGCCACCAATCTAGTGTCCCAACACGATGGTTACCACGATTATAGAGATTTAAGAAGAAGAAGAAGAAGAAGAAGCATACATGAGAAGGAGGCCGAAAAGAATGAGAAGAAACATAAGAGACTGCACCCGTCACTTTCAAAAAAACTCGACTTCTTTGCATCCAAAATATTCTTGAAGAACAGAAYGCGATACCTCGACGCGTTTCRCTGYCGGCGTCCARCGGCTAGCTCATCAGGAGGCTACTTACTACAAACTCGAAGCCCATGACTGTATGACAGGAAGCAACYTTCTTTGCTTAAATACTTACTCCGTGAGTATCCGTGCACATTCTACCTGGAGAGCTTCAAGCCTACCTACCCTACTCCCTTTCTCTCTTYGTCACTATGCTGTTCCRYTGTTTTCCTTCCTCCCTTCTCATCTCTATTCCCTTCCCCATGGAGCATCCGCGGATCCGTGTGGTCTCTTCCTATTGGTGGTCCCCTTTGCCCGCTCTTTTCCTCGTACTCCCTCCGTTTTTTCCATTCTCCTTCGTTGTATTCTCTCCCTCCCTCGTAATCCTCAGCCTCGCTACTTCCTCCGATACCGCCTGTTAAGTCGAGGGTGATGGTGCTTCCATCTCTCGCAGCGACTGGGTGTTTCGTCTTCGATATTTGCACTTGATTATAACAAACACCCAGATCCGGCGATAACATCGGACTCTCAATTTCCCACCCGCCTTTTTGATCGTTTTTTCTTAATCGGACCAAGGAGCTCACGTACCTCAGGCTTCAACTTTAGCGGATCAATTTTCCTTCCCTTAATTCTTACTTAAAATATGAAAAAACGTACGTTTCCCCCAACCCGTCAAACCTATATCCCTCTAAATGGGAAAAAAAAAATAAAAAAAATAAAAATAATAATAATAATAATAATAATAAAAACAAAAAGAAAGGAAGAAAGGGAGAGAACAACGTTTGATTGCATAGTAAAGCTCGTCGGTCCTATGGCTCCCGAGACATGGAGAATGAACCAAAACCTCAAACCAGGAACAAAACTTGAAAAAACCAGAAAAAACCTTTCGATTGCATAGCCTAGCTCGTCCGTCCTATAGTTGTCTAAAAAGTTAAGGAAAAACAGGATTTTTTTTAGCTCGTCAGTCCTATAGCTTTCTAAACTGAAGAAAAACAGACAGAAACCAACCGATTACATAGATTGCCCGATACCCTTAATATTCCAAAAACATTACATCCAAAAAGGTTGTAATAGGGTCCATACACATTGAGCCTGTTCGCAAACAGACCCTCCTGATCAGATCTGCAAATACTTTACAACTCCGGGGTACGTCCTGGAAAGGAGACCTCCCCAGGGATCACTGGAGACCTTGGCAAACCTTGCCAAGGACGAGAGAGAGAGAGAGAGAGAGAGAGAGAGAGAGAGAGAGAGAGAGAGAGAGAGAGAGAGAGAGCACTGATAATGCTGCCAGTCTGAAGACTCTGACATTCTGAATTGAACTGCAAAGTTCGAACTTTTAAGTTATATATGAAGTTATGATTTTAAATTACTAAATCCAAAGTTCAAAGTTCAAACTTCAAAGTTAATCATATGTTTTTCAAAAAACAATTCTCTGTTTCTTTAGTCTTGTGTTTGCTTTGCACTGTTTGCAACTCTGCATGTCTTCTTGTTAAACGTGCTTGTTGATTTGCTGCAAGACATGTGCTCTCCTACCTGAACTACAAAGTGCAAAGCAAGTAAGTGC